AATTACACTGGCGCTGATACAACTTCCCAGGTAGTTAAATTTTTGAACGACTTCTAGCTGATCCCCATCAAGAGTCAGCGTAGGAGGCGGTCCAGGCCAATCTTGGAGGAACGCTTTGCACTTCGATAGTGCAAAGCAAAGCCCGAAGCGGTTGACAGCCAGTGCTAATCTGTCCAGTGCCACTTGGCACGTCTGGGAGCTGTCACAGATTAGGGCAATATCGTCAGCATACTCCAAGTCAAGAAGTCGTTCTCCTGGGAGCAGATCCACACCTACTAAGTCGTGTCCTGTAAACGCGATTTCCATGACTTCGTCAATAGCGAAGTTGAAGAGGAAAGGTGACAGCGGGCATCCTTGTCTCACACCGCTGGAGATATTAAAGGGCAAAAACAGCTTGCCGTAAGCCCTCACTCTGCCCGAACTACGCGCGTATAATGCTCGGATAATATTTACATATTTCTCAGGTACACCTTTCCTGAGTAGGCAGTCCCAAAGTGCACGTCTATCCACCGAATCGAATGCACCTGTGATATCGAGGAACACGACAACGGTGGGTCGCCAATATATATGCCGGTGCTCCAACAACTGACACAAAGTGAAGATGTAGTCAATGTAGACACGACCGCGACGAAACCTGGCTTGCTCTTCACTAATCTGTCTTTCACGTGTGTCAGTCAGTCAGTAAAGGATGACAATGCAAGCAATTTGGAAGTGATATAGATCAGACTGATTCCTCTCTGGCTGCCACATTCTGATTGTGAGCCTCCCTTGAAATTTGGGACTAGGACGGAGTGGCTCCAGTCATTTGGGACAGTATTCTGCTCCCACAGTTTAACTAGTAACTCGTGTATATCATCCAAAAGAGCAGGTCCCCCGAATTTGAAGAGGGCTGGAGGGAGATCAGCTGGTCCCGCGGCTTTATTTAACTTCAACAGTCCGATCTCACGTTCGACTGCTGAGCGAGAAGGTGGATCCAAAGGGACAGCCCACGGAACGGGGCGATCAGTGGCCGGCGAGAAATCTAACAATTCCGACCGATTAAATTGCCTTTCAAAATGCTCAGTTTAACGCTCTAAGCGTTTGGAGAAATTGTGGATAAGCTGTCCACTCTCGTCATGTTTAGTTTACTAACACAAGGTCCCTTCTTCCCGTTTCCTGTATCAGCCATCTCTGATGCACCATGAGACTACCAGGATTCGCGGTCTCTCTTCAGGCTAGCACGGTGTTTTGCCCGGAGCTCTTTTCGAGTTTCATTGTGTTCGCTTCCAGCCGGAATATGCCGGCGAGCATCGATAAATTCCGGAGACTGCGAAGAGACCCAATGTCCATGTTGGCGATTAGACATACCAAATGAGGATTTTCCTGCTGCTAGTAACGTCTGGTGAATATGAGGTCAGTGAGCTACAATTACATTTATTGAGCTCTTATACAACTCACATGACATCCTACTTTGATAAGCATTCAGAACAACTGGCTTAGCCAGTTGGCTCATGTTAATGCGCTCACGTCGTGGGCGTCCGTCAAAACGTATCTGCAGGTCAGCACATACAAGTGCATGGTCGGTGTCCACACCTGTGCTCCAAATCGATCAGCAGTACTGGACGCAACCGCTTCATCGGTAACTTATCCTAGTGTGATCGATTTGCGCCCATAGTTGTTTCGAGGCTGGTGGGCACCAAGTCACCCTCCGGCGGGTGCTGTGTCGGAAATCAGTGCCCGCATGTAATAAGCGAGCATCTTCACACAAATGAGGTAACCGCTTACCGTTATCATTACGGGAGCGTATACCATGTTGGCCGCCCAGATGCAGTTCATCAGTGGATAATTTTCCAAGCTGAGCTTTCAGATCCCCGGCCAGCATTACAGTGTCCGAGCTTCTTCTGTGGCGAAGGAGCTCGTTCAGTTGACGATAGAAGTCGTCTTTTATGGAGTCATCGCTACAGTTTGTGGGTGCATAGGCAGCGATAACGAATAGACACCTGTTAGTCCCACGTGACTTCAAAGTGTTGAACGAGCCAGCCAATCGGACCGCACACATCCGACTACTGATTGGAATCCAAGCAACCAGAGCAGCTTCAGCCCGGGGACTCAGAGCAATGCCAACACCGGCTTGGCCGGTGCTAGAACCTGCATCGTCACCGGATGGACGCAATGAGAAAATGCTGCTAGTGTCGCCTGAAGGGGATCGCACTGTGAACACAGAGCACGAGTCTTTCAGGCCGGTCTCCGATAAGCAGCACATATCGATGTAGTGGGTCTCTAATGTTCGGGCAAGTGCTGCATCTTGACCGATCTGTAGCAATGTACGAACATTGAGGCATGCCAATCTGAAGGAGGATCGAGGGCTCCAAATAGAAGTCGGTGAACTGCACTTAACTGCTTGCTTGGATATTGGCCTGTTGACAGAGCAAGAATGACGCTCCGCGTTCACATGTGAGTTGAAACTAGAAGGTAAACGCCTAGCAAAGCAAGGAAGGGGAGGGCCGAGAATTGGGGGGTTGAAAACAGGGGGATATAAATGAATCTGGAACGGTACGATAAGGGAGAAACTGTGCAAGCGGGGGAATGAGAAGAAAGTAAAGCTTGAGCAGTATCATCCGAACCCCTATCCACCCAGCTCGATGCAGCAGATAGGGCACCGTTTCTTATCCTCTGCGGTGGTCTGAGCATCAGGAAACTGTTTGAAGAGAAATTCATCGTATTGCGTGGGCAGGATACTGTCAGGTTGCCCAAGCCTAGACAGCAGTACGATTGGGGCTCTCAACCAAAGCCTTTGGTTCAAAAACCTGACCGCAAGGCAGCGGGTTTGGCGTTGGGCTACAATGAGTCCTTTTTAAGGAATAAGGAGCCACCCCAGTTCCAACTCGGAACCTAGAAGACCAGGAAGCTGAGTTTGTCTGGCCTCTAACCATTGAGCAATCTCGTATGAGTGGCTTTGAAGGTGCAAAAAACGCACTACCCAGCATAGCTCAATGGATCACTGCGACACACAAACCATCGCACCACGTTAAGTTCCAGCCTCATTGCGATGTATCGTTAAGAATGTCACCACTCAAGACGGGTAAAGTCCTAATGACTGTAGCTACGGGAAACACCCTACTCCTATGGTTTTGCTCCATGACCAGAAAAATCTTGTGTACTTTCTTCCCTCTTTCCCCGCAGAGAAAGTCATTAGTTTTTCCAACATCACTTTTATCCCTGTAGCTGTCACAAACCAACTGTAGTCCATCAGAGAAAAGAGTGTCTTTGTTATCCATAAACTTTTCCTAAACGTTCTCAAAACCCTTACCCCACCTAGACAGTACCTTTCGCAGCCTCTTTCCAGTGTCTACTTGAGTCATATGCACTCCCATCTGAGTAGAAAAATAGAATAACCACTGTAATCTACAATGGGGGTCAACGATAGGATCCCGCTGGCAATCAACCCATTACTCTTCTCTGTTTCACGAAGAGATATAGCGTCCATAATCACCAACGGATTGCCGAAATTTTTTGCAAGTCTTCAAATCATTTCCAATCTTAAACATCGCTTAGTACACAGTCGATCTTGTTTCACTAACCTTCTATTGGCTCGTAACTTACGGACAAGGGCGGCCGAAGGAGGTGTTCCCCAGATGTAATATAATTAAACATTACAAAAGCATCCGAGGGATTTAATCATTTCCTTCTTATACAGTATCTAAATGACTATAGGATCACCGACTCTCATCGTACCTGGTTAGAAAGTTACCTACACAGAACAGTACATTAACAATTAGCGATACACACTGAAAGTTTTTACGTCTCCATTGATGTGCCCCAATGTCCCGTCCTAATCCCGCTAGTGTGGTTAGTCTATATAAATGACTTGCCAGAAAACATTCAGCCCCTGTACAGTTATTTGCTCATAATGTCGCGATCTGGATAGCTATTCGCTCATCTCACTGTGCTTCTCTTCAAAACGATCTAGACCGGATTTTCCAATGGGTAGAACTGTACCACTTCCCCCTGGGACCTTGCAAGCCACCACCAGTTGACACTGCACAACCAATTCAACCGCACATTTTGTTCAAGGTAAAAGTTATAGAACACGTAACTAGTGAAATATTTAAGTATTATCGTTCAGAATAGTCGATAAAATTCGCTCCAGGGTTCGAGAGTGATACACGTGGAGAATTTGAATTTACCGCTTCTGATGCGAGCTCCCAGTACATTTGAGCGGCAGCTAGTACCCATGCTGATTAACTCCTATAGAAGTCCCACGTATTTTTTATCCCATTCTGAGCTTGGCGTTGCATTCTTCACTCTTCTTCACCGCAGTTGGACTATGCCGACTAACACTTAAAGTAAATCTTCCAAACATGGAAAAAGTATCCCTCGTTATTTGATTTATTCAGTTATGCTGCTGCATTTTCCGCGTCGATTTTGCGGGCTAATTCCCCCCAAATTGAACATCGGTTGTTTGATATTCCCGGAATCGATTGCTGGATGTGCATGTTGATAAAGTTCCTACCTATACAAGACCCTGCGTCTCGATTACTGGCTTCAGGAAAATGTTACTGGTTACTGGGGGTACGAAATTCATGCCGTGTTAGCCTCAAACAGTTGTTTCATACAATGTGGGGTGGACTACGGTCTAGCCACCGCGTTGTGTGTGTTTGAATCCCAAATACAGCATGTTCCTGTTTGCCAGTGAAAGAGTGTGGGCCGACTCCATTGATGAAACGTGGCTCCCATCCACCGGCCTCCCGGTCTTATTCCTTCTGGTTTACACTGGATATGGGGTGTGTGGTTGGAGCTGTGGGTGGTGCAGCGCAAGGCACTCATGGTCCCTCTGTAGTCGCAGGCGTCCTGTAGCTGTTCCATGCAGGCCAGTGTCAGACAACTGCACAACCGAATGCCGGCAACCTTACATTAAGGACTATATCCAATGAGAGTCATAGGGTAACAAGATTTTAAGTACTCGGAACTAATTTGTATGTGAACGTAGTAACTTTGTGCGAGAACCACTGGGAGTTACTTCACTCACCGATGGCCATTCCGTCCGTGAAATTGTGCAAGCCATCACCAAGTATGACCATCCAGGCCACGGAGGCAACTGAACCGGGAACCTAGGATGAAGCACATTTGTCCGATACATTGTTTGTATTCAAACGCTGTAAACTATTTACATCATGGCATGTAGCTATGGAAATCAACTGCCTAGCTTCGGTTGCATAAAAATTAATCGTGAGTACTCAGTGGGTTGAGAAACTTAGTAAAAGAATATGATTACAATGGAATGCATTGGAACGAAGACGTAAAGGTATAGGTGACACTTTCGGTGAACGAAGAGCATCCAAAGGCAGCAGACTACTAGGATAAGGCACGTGGCTCGCGTGCGCAACAGTGAGCCACATGAGTACAAAAACGGCATGTGTGAGTGGGGTGAATAGAAAAACGTGCCGTCTCTCCTCATAAGCACTGCGGATATTTCAGTTAGGTTACTGTTAAAGGATACGAAAGTTAACATACCACACATCAAAGCAGCCGAAGTCAGTAACAGCTGTTTACTGCATATATGGCGGCAGTAGCCCTGACATCTGACTGGTTAATCCACTACTGCCGTTCAGGTGCTTAATAGTGGCTACATGTCCTGAACGTCTCTTCGTAGTGACCACCGGATAAAATATGGCCTTACTGTTCTCTTGTCCGCCATTCTTGATCTATTGATTTGAGTAGGTCTTTATCTGAGCTAAGTGCCAAGACATCTCACGTAGGGCTGACGCCACTACCCGAGTTTCGTATGTGGCTATCAAACCACAAATATTCTTTACTAATTTATAGTTTCCAGCAACCGCAACACTGCTGATGCTGGTGCGTAAAGAGTAATATTGCTGAATTGTACAGCGGTACTTTTCCCCACATATTTGCTTTTGCGCTGCGCGATTCGTGACCTCAAGGGGATTTGTCCCACACAAATGCCATAGGCATCTGTGTGCGTTTAATGTTAATCGATGTATCTTGCCTATTAACATGAAATGGGTGTAGACTGAGATCAAGAATCGGATTGCAATAGAGAAGGCATATACATCGTTCAACACATTCACGCAGAAATCCGCGTTCTACCTAAAACTTCGAGAATTCCTTCAGCGTCACAGCGCTGGTGTGATCAAGAAACACCTGCAGAAGCTGGGTTGGTCTCCTACACAAGAGTAGTCACCAACACTGATGTGTCTTCTATCACTGCCCCACATTTATCACCATCATCGCATCATTGGAGCTATAAGAAGTCTCCAAAACAGTCTGTGGAGGCGTACCCGGATATACTTTATTCATCTAAGCCCGAGAGTGACAAAAATGCATTGGTTCCATTGCGTGCGCTCATCTCAAACACAATGGTTCCATAACTTCCTCTGCCCATCTTTCGACGACTTATAAGGACCATTTGGGAAGGGATCTTCAGAATAGACCTACGAACAACATATTGAGGATGAAGCTATTGCGCCATGTTATCGACCATCTAAGACGACATCTGGACCCCAAGGTGCGTTCCTTGGTTTTGCATGACATCAACCTAAGTTTGAAATGGGTTAGTTTTGCCTGCAGGTGGTTAGGTTGGCTTTTAAAGCCCACAGAGAATACTGCCTTTCCCTTTAGGTGGAAATCCAGGAAGCAGCGTTCTGCCAGATCCATACCAGCAAAGAGATTCATAAAAGAACCTATGCGGCGGTATAAGTTCTTTATCGGAAGCAGTGGAATGTTACGCCAAGGGGTGTCTCCGATGGTACATAGCAGAGACCCACATGTTTGATATTAGAACCGCACCTGACTATCCAGGTCCACAGGGCAGTGCTTTACAGCAGACCAAGCACTGCTGACCTTAGACCAGTGCCATCCGATCCTAGGTTCGACTTGTTAAGGCCTATGGAATCAACCGAGGCAGAGGCGGCGCTTAAGAACAAACCGAAGACGACGCCGGCGCTGGATAGACTGATTGTTACCACATCCTTCAACTATAGTCCTGAGATCTTGTCACTAAGTTTAAAGATCCAGAGTACTTTTCTTACAGACTATTTTGCCAATCTTACGCAGTTTACTAGGATTGGGGGAAAAGCACTTCCTCAAGCACCACAAATTCAGGCTTTCTTCAAAGAGCTATTTTGTACCCATTTCTATTTTCTGCCTACATTAACTCCATTCCCACTCCAAAGGAAACCGTCCTGCTGAAGTATGCTGATGACGTGATTCTTGGTGTACACAATCACATAACAGACTCAACGGCCAAGGTGCAATGCTTCTTGGACAACTTCCCCACCAGGTCCAAATCCCGCTGTCTTTCACTCAACGTACTAAAGTGTAAAGATTTTTTTGCTCGCTGTTAAAGGAAAATCCTTATCGACAGATCCTGACGCACACCCCGCACCTAAGTATGGAATGTCAGTCTAAACACCCGTACGATAATAAAATATCTCGGTTAAACTAAGTCGGGATCACACGCAATCACATCAGGTGTATGAAACATTCACCAAAGTCAAGCAACTGTCCTCCCTCCCCCGATTTAGGTGTTCAGTCGTGCATCGAAACTTGACTTTTACGATTTGTCACAGCTTGCGCTAAACCGCACCAAACGTATTGCTCGTCAGTGATATTTCCTGGACTCTTAAACGGTAAAATCAAAGTGCTCAACTGATCCCTGAAACATCCGGCGTGAAGCAGCGCAATTCCATGTAAATGTTCATTGACATCATTGTGTTCAATCATGTTCCCTCCTACGAAAAACGCGTCCAAAGTACTACTGATGCCATTCACACTCTCCATTGTGCATTGTCCGTATGTATCTCGACATCTATGATCAAACCTACAAACTCATTTATGCCCGTACACTGGCTGGCGGTACGCCAGTTGCCCCTATTGGTCACCTTTTCTGAGGGATCGAAATGTAGTCAAACAAGATCTTATTACTAGACTGAATCGATGACATAATCACCTCCACCATTTCATATTTTTGGCGCACCATATACATTTGTCGTATTTTTAGTTAATTTCATTTGTGCCCTTAGCGTGTGTGTTGTAGCTGAATATTCCCTTCATGGGTGCACAAAGCGACTTGTTGACTTCACTTGAATCCAATGCTTCTGCATTATTCGCCCCTGCCATGTTTCTCCCTCGTACACATCCACTTGGTTCGTAAAACCGTAAATCCTGAGCACCGAAGAGAATACAGACGGACAGCTGTTGCTTCGGTTATCTTAGGTGTAGTACATGAAGGGATCGTGGAAAGCTAGCGGGACATTGCCTCTCACACCTCTTTCAAGTTTGCTTTCTGAAGAGAGACAGATGTCTAGCGGCCTCATATGAATGGCACAGGGTACTCCGAGGAGCTCATTAAGAAGCGCGATTATACATGCAGTCAGTCGCTATGGAGCACTCTCGCCGCTAGTCCGTTATTTTACTCGATTGTATACTAACAGATGTGTTGCTATCTAGAACGTAGACAATGTGTTGTTGTACTGGGAGAGAAAGCGACTCATTATCGCTTCTTCTCTTTATCACTGTAATATACCCAGTTTCATTTACACCTAACCGCGGGAAGGATTCATATTTTAGGACTATACTTTAAGCGTGGTAACCTGTGCTCACATTCTGGTACTGTTTACGAATGATGAACTGAATATGCGAATTAAATTACACTTGACATGTATGTAACTGATTGTAACTAAGCGCCGTGTCATGACAATTAGAAAGGGGCTTCCAAGCACCCTGTTCTTCGCTCCAGGGCATGAATGCTTGCTGATGGTATAATTGTTTCGCTGACTGTGGTGGATGAGATTAGGTGCCTTGATTTCATGTTTACTTGGAAGGAAAAAGGTGGTGTGAAAAGCAACTCGATGCTTGGTTGCATGCTGCCGGAGACAGCGGCTGAACCGTTCAAATTACGTGAGTGGACTGGACTGCTGATTTATCAAGCAACACAAAAGCTGGCTTTTGTGTTCACCGTGGGTGGTGCCAAGTGAAGCACTAAATGGTTCGTGGGGTCATACGAGGTTGGTCTTCCCCCCCCCCCCTCCTCCCTCAACGACACAGCCATAGCCTATTTCCGTAGGGAGGAAAGAGAAAGGAGGACTCGGTCTTCCATCTTTCGCTGTTGGTATCTCTTTCACTCAAAGAAGTGTTTTCACTCATTTGGTGAGATTCCCACGCGAGTGGCTCAGGGGATTTTCACACTCATTCACGTGCGGCTGTTTTTCTTAGAACCCACCTGTCCGTGTGGATGGATAAGGAAGTGCTGCGTTGAACCTTAATTTACGTGATACCTACCCTCTGTCGTTGATAGGGTTGTCGGATAGCAGCTAAGTCCATCCGCAGCTTCACAACAACACTAACAGTATATGTCTCAAGCAACCTCTGAATGTATCCCCGCGTCTTTATATCGGGACTTTACCCCATGCTGAGTCTGATGTTGCATTCATGATGCTTCTGCACCGCAGTTGGGCTAAACCAACTTACGCTTAATCTAGTTCTATTTAAGCCGGAAAACTTTCATTCTACGTTATTTGGTTTGTTCTGCCTACCTGAATAATCTACCATTAACTTGCATACGTTACGCTAATTGTGGTTAGATTCTTTGACTTCTTTGCGTTTGTAGCATTTTGAGTAAGTTCTTGACCTTTTGTGCTTATCGCGGATTCATTAGTAACTGACTTATTTCATAAGCAAGTTTAGTGAAGAGTTATGTTGGCATAGACGTATGCTTTAACAGATATATTTTATTTACTAATGTCATTGCAAGCGATTGGCTGACATCCCCGGTGTGGCTGCGCTTGATGTGTATGTTGACAAGCTGCCTACCTGTCTATTACCCACTATCTCGTCCATACTGGCTCTAGGAGATAGCTGGTCGTTTCTGGATGGGATGGGGTGCACGATCCTTGTGGTCCTGCTAGACTCGAAGAGTGGTTCCATGCACTCAGTGTGGAGCGGACTACGGTCCAACCACCGCCTTGTGTGCGCTTGATTCCCCAAATACAGCGTGCTCGTGTTTGCCTAAGAAGGAGCGTGGGCCGGCTCCATTGATGAAACGTGGTTCCCATTCACCTGATTCCCGGTCATGTTCCTTCTGGTTTACGCT